TGTCCTCCATGACGTCATACAGTAGTTGACGTCACGGCGCATTTTTGTTTCTAGGCAACATTCGACTGAAAACGATTTCGAATTCCCATCAATGACCAAAGCACTCATGAAGAGCTGTCTTTTCATCGTCTGCAAGACAATGTTTACTATCGGTGAATCTCAAGCATTTCTCATGCAAACAGAACAGCAAACACAAGAACGCCCAATTGTCAATCCTCGCAGGGGAAGATTTGACACCGAAAAATCCTCTGGGGCGAAGAACGCCGACTTGAAATTCAACGGCACAAGCAGCAAAGATGGATGGAGACGGCAGCAACAAACAGCGGAGCAGAGAACATCACTCAATGAATTTCAAATGCTAAAGTTCTTTAAGAGCAAATGGAAGCAATTTTGGATAATTAACCTTATAAACATTTGAGCGAACATCGCGGTAACAAAACCTTTTTTCCTCGCAGACGAGTATGTACCGTATCGTCCTACTGTTGGGCTTCCATTCTCTACATGTAAATGCGATGAAATGCGTTTACGTTGGGTATTCACTGTTCAAACTGCAGTCATTCCTCTGAAAAATATCTTTGAACTCATGTTTAATAAGGCTCGAAACTTTTAATAATAAAATTTCCACAAAGCTTGTTGCACGTGGCCTAGTGGTAAAGCTTTCGCCCGGTGCGCCGAAGGGCCCGAGTTCGAATCTGGGCAGTACCTTTTTTTCTTCGCTTCTTTTCTTTTCTTTTCTTCTTTTTTTTTTTCTTTTTCTTTTCTTTTAGTTTTCATTTTAGGTATAACAGTTTTGTTATGTTTCTATATATAGCTCACAATTTTTGATTGACAAATTTTCTTCTCGGCTTTACTTGCCGTTCCGCCCAAGTCCTTCGCGAGGTCCTGCGATTTACGTATTTCTAGTATTATTTTGAAATGATATGTTTCGTAAACTGCCTAAAACGAGTTTTTTGTTTCAGTTTGATGTAATGTTAAGCAGTGCAGGTTGTTTGTTTGTTGTTGTTGTCGTTTCACAAAGCTTTTTTAAGTTTTTAATAATTTACTGAGATTCTTATCATGCAAACCAACAAAAAACCGCTAAGATTTAGCGCGGAATTTCCCATTTCTTTCCATTACCATTGGGCTTATTATAGCCCTCGCTCCAATCACTTTTTTCGCACTTAGGTTTTATTAGTTCGAGGCTTTCCCCGCATCTCTGTACGGTTTGAGCGTTTACCAGTATATAATTTTTTATCTTCGTATCTTTTTATTTCTTTTTAGTGCGTTCATCGCGACCTTTCAGCTAGAAATGTCTTCATTGGAGAAAACCTCGTGGCCAAAGTTGGCGACTTTGGATTGGCACGTGATGTCTCAGACTATGGTATTTACACCAAAATATCCAGTGTAAGTACATGTAGATTCGGGAACCGCTTTGAACTGCACAATTTTGGGACAGCCGACATTTTCAACTGTAAATCGAAACATTAAAAGAATGATTTACCGTGAACTGCCGCGTATAAGCCCTGAGCTTATGTATCTTCGTAAAGGGTTGTAGAAGGACTTATAAACTGACGGGCTTATATCCGAGGGGGGCTTATAACCGAGGGGCGCTTATCACCGGACTAGAACAAGCTTTATAACATAGTTAGAATGTTCGCCTGATCAAATTTAATGCCGCAAGAGTGCTCCATATTCCCATTGAGCACACTGATGACGTCAATAAACTATACCTCAAGTCTTTGTGACCATCCTCCAAAAACGTCTCCCAATGCAAGTGCATACGCGATGAAGCGCTTACCATGTATTTCATAATGTAATTTAAGAGAAAACTTTAGAATTTCTTAACCAACAGTAGGGAAATTAGGTGTGTGTTGTTGTTGCTGTCATCTGCGCGAGCTGTGCGGGCTATGGCGTGTGCAAATCATTCTTTGCAAAGTTCTTTCTCTCTAGAAGAATTTTTCTGTGAATTAATAGTTTTTCGGCACCCCAATATGGATTTTACAATCTTTTGTAATGTTGTCGTTAAGTGTGTTGAGTTAAATCTCTCTCAGTTTCAAGATAAGCTTAATATAAAAACAGTTTTAACTGTCAGGTAAAAATATATAAATTATAGTCACGTCGTTATTGACGCGCGCTACAATAATAAAATTTTAAGTGAACTGCTATATCGATCGCTTTGATAATGTTATAAAACAATTAGTTCATGTTTCAACTGTGCGTATGTCGAGATGTTGAGCACTTGGGAAGTTTGGAGAGCACTCGAGAGGTTAGAGTTGCTCTGAACTCTTACGTCGTTTTAGTGCTCTCCACACTTCCCGCGTGCTCAGTATCTCGATATACGCACGCTGACGCATAAACTATTTGTTAAATAGCAGTGCTAATCAAAATACGTTTATCATTAACTGGCTTTTTTAATTAAAGTGTTATAATAAAGCGAATTCATTTCAATGCATTTGGAACAGAAAACTCACAGAACGAACAAAACTGGAACATAACAAATCTGAAGTTCAGACTCCATCATAAGAAGCAAAGTGGCAAATACGTACTGTACACAAACAAAGCCTTTCGTTAAGCCTGTTAACTCAGTATTGTACAGCAACTGTAAAGCATTGAAAACTTACAGAAATCCTAAAAAGTGCTTGCTAAAACAGGAAAAATTAGAGGGGGGTTTATATCCGGAGGGGATTAATATATAGATTTAGCCAGGGCTAAAAGCGAAGCTCTCGTTAATATCTTTAGTTTACTCAAAATATGAAATCGTGTAATACTTTTAAATGAGCGACGTTGGCAACGAAGACGGTAAAAATATCAGTAGGTCTAATTAGCAAAAAAAGAACTTTGCACGTGCAGCACACTTTTTATATACATTTCTTTGCCGTTGTTCTGCACGACTATATATAACGTGAAACTTCCAGAAACTTCCTAGTGAGACGTTCTATGGAGGAAATGTTGTATGTGTTCCTGTACACTTTGTTTTCGCTGCCGCTTATTTTTACCTTGGTGGCCGCTAGCATTTTTCATTTTCTCACCACCGCTATAAAGTTTTCACGTTTTTCTTCCAACGAAATTGGTCTCTGTTTGTTTCTTATCTCTCGCTCTAGCTCTTTCTGTGTTATCCACGTCAATGTAAAGATTAAAAATAAGTCGAGAGAAAGAATCGGCTTTGTTGTTGTTGTTTTTTATTTCTAAAAGTCCGGGTGGTTATGCAATTTAAGCCCGGGTACTTGAAATGAAAACTTTCACCCCGGCTTAATTACATGAAGGGGTGGACGTCCGGACGGACGCGTACGGACGATTTTCTCAAAACCAAAATGTCTTGGATGCATAGACAACCAAATGTCCTTACCCATGGTGCTCCGCTATAATGAGATTTGTTTATCACTTTTTACGGGCAGATGGGCCTATAACAAGGAGGGGATAGGTGGAGAGGAGGAGGGGGGGGGCTCTTAAGGTATTCCCTTCAACTTCTACTTTGCAATTTTTTTAGTATGTAAAAGGGATGCCGGAAGGACATGATCGCGGGCTATTCAAATTCTAAAGCGAGAATCTTTCTCTCTTCTGTAGGGTAGAGTACCTTGGAGATGGTTATCCTTAGAATCGTTAAAGGCCCAAGTATATACTGCCAAAAGTGACGTGTAGGTGTCCAAACTGGTTTCATCAACGATCAGCTGCCATACTTGAAGCAATGATTTTTGACTTCATGTTTTTACATACCGTTTAGTCATATTCGATCGTGCACGTGAATGGATTTATTTGACTTGTATATCTTTCTGTTTCTTTCGTTTCCTTAAAGATGGTCCTATGGTATTGTCTTGTGGGAAATTGCCACTTACGGTGGGTATCAAATATTAACAAATGTTTATCGTGTTCTCATAGCTGTTTCTTATGCAAAATATGTTGTTATCTTGGTTGTTGTCTTCAGGTGAGGAGCCATACCCTAACATAGAAACGCCAAGGGATCTCATACTTTGGCTCTCCATGGGGAACCGGATGTCCCGTCCCGAACATAGCTCAGAGAAACTGTAAGTTTGCAAAGTAACGTAACTAAGTAGTATAGCAAATAAGGTTTCTAGGAGGGCGGATTATGCGGATCCACATGGTGATTAACATATGGAAATTGAGACAGGTAAATAGTGACGTCAAAAGATAGATGCTGTGTTGAAATCATTCATGTTTAAAGAGGATAACTGATAATTATTTGGAGAGGGCGTCTTTTCTTTTAAGTTTTGTAGAAAGCGGAATGTCAAAGAGTAGACCTTCAAACGTTGTTAATTAACTTAATTTAATAGCCCTTTTGTTTTCTTGGAACAAGTTCGAAGAAGGATCGAATATATTGAATACAATTCTCGGTTCCAAATGATTCGAATTTAAACGATTGTTGTACTTTCTGTCACCCAGCATTAAGCACAGTTGAGAAAAATAGTGTGGTATGTTTAAAAACGACCGAAATCGATATACTGAGACTTTGTTTTGAACTTGAGACAAAATATTTGCCGCTGCATTTTTTGTTCGATTTAAACTTCGCTTTCTCTGAACCAAACTTTTCTCCCATTCAAGATAACGACCTCATCAGTAAAAACGTGTTTACATAAAAAGTTCAAGATGGCGACCTCATTATTAAACCCGCTTCCATACTTTTTCTCTCACTGAACCCAACCCCAATACTTTTACTACAACGGATGCTCTTCGATTACTCAGAGTTACTCTTATCAGCGGAAAGGTGCACGTGCCCACCCTTCACTTAGCGTTGCTCGGCGCTGCTCACTGATCGTTCAGCGTTGCTTCGAGCCACTTTAGAGCTGCTCTCAGTAGCGCTAATGTGTACACTATTTACTCAGTGCTGCTCATCATGGTTATTTAACATTGCTTTGAGCCACTTAGAGTTGCCCTGAGTAAAGCTCAAAAGGGGCTCACTGACCACGCAGTGTAGCTCTGAGCTAGTGACGTTGATCACTCAGTATTGCTTTGAGGTGCTCAATAATTTTTCTCAGTTGCTCTGAGTTACCAAGAGTTGCCCTGAGTTAAGCTCAAAGGGGCCACTGACCGCTCACAGTGGCTCTAGCATTGCTTTCAAAAGTAAAGTAGTCCTGAGTGACTTAACCCTAAATTAATTAAACGGGGGAGTTTTGCGTGTCCACTTTCCAAATCAAACGTTCATCGAATTAATATGGCGAGAGAATGGTACAATTTAGCTATTCTGTCCGAAAGCATTTAGCCGTAAGTCTAACAGCAATCGATACGAAACAGTGGGTTGTTCGAAACAATATGATGGCGATAGAAGGAAAAACCAACTTTTTGAATGAGGGAGAGGGCTTGCCGAGAATAAGAGCTGAAAATATTGTGAGGACGATGTAGAAGATGATGTTAATGAAGATGAAGACGAGGACAACGATGATGAGTAGGTTTCATAATTGGGCCCATTAAGAACTGTTGTCGTAGTTTGCACTTCTCTTCCCTCCTGTCGTTTCGCGCACCTTGTGACAGTACAGCTCCTTTTAATCGGGCCTTTTAGATCTGGTGTACGGCCTTTGTCATCCTCTCCCAAGCTCCTCCCATATGGCATGTCCCAGGTGGGTTGGAGATCCATTTAATCACTCTGTATGTACAAAACCCATTGATTCTTTGCTGATACACTCATCGACAAAAGTGTAGCTCCAACTTCTCATCAGCTCTGGTAAAGTTCTTTCCACAGTCGTTTCAAATTTTCTTTAGGAGACCTTTGAGATTAATGAATTTTCTTAAGGCACTAAACATTGAGACTGTCTTCTAGCTGTGTGCAGCTTCGATGTGTATGGCTCGGAATGTTGATCAAGTGAATAAACAACTGTACTGCTTCACTCTGCTTTCGACCTTGTTTCACTTCTAATGGACCAAAAACGTTCATTCCAATATGCGTGAACAAAGGTTTGTGCGGAGTAACTCCCTCTTGCGGCAAATTTGCGATCAATTGTGGTCCCAATTAAGCTTTTCTTTTCTAACAGTCTTCACTACCGTTAACACTCGCGCACTACAGAACGTCCATTTACAAGTCCAGAACCTTCTCTGAGAGATAAAAACACAGACCCATGTCCAAGGTGACCTACTTTCTCATGGTGATAGGAAAAGCAATTATTAGTTCTGTGACGTAGTCATCCCTTGGACGAATGAAAGGATAATAATCCACCTCTCAACTTCTGGCCTAACTTAAAAGTTGATGAGCCTTTCCTCATATAATCCTTTTGGCTTGTCTTTCGTCCGACAAGGTAGAAGGTGCGTTAAATAGCTCCAGGAACGCAATTACCGTGAAATTCCGAAAATAAGCCCCTGGGCTTATATTTTTCAAAGGCCCTTTTTGAGGGGGGTTATTTTTGGCGGGGCTTGTATTCGGAGGGGCTTATCTACGGAAGGAAATTTGAGTCTCAAAATCGATTGGGCTACCCTTATAGTTGGAAGGAAATTTACCGTTTTTGCTTTGTTTTACTTTGTATTTGAGGGCAATTTCCAAGTACAAGCGCCTCGGGGGGCTTATATTTGGAGGGGCGATTTAACGGAGGGTTTTTTGCGTTACGAGTTTGGAGGGCTTATATTTGGAGGGGCTTATAAATGGAGGGGCTTATTTTCGGAATTTTACGGTACTTCTTTTTCAGCCTTATGACGTTCTTCCACTGTAAGACTCCCGTTTAAAAACCCTCTGTTACTAAGGATGGCGTACTGGTTTTGACGCTTCCCTGTTTCTGTTCGTAAACTTTACTACATCAGCCAAGTAAATGCTGTTTATATTTTCCACCAGAAAGAATATTGACATATTAACTTGTCAAGAGGATTCTAAGAAACAGTAGTGGCGTAAATATTGCTTTCCCCCCTTACTTTGGGTCACTATATATCAGTTCCGGGACTTAAATTATTGCAGGCCAGCGAGCCTAGTACTTCCATACGGAAACGCTAGTCCATTCAGCCATCGACCATTCTTCGTTAGTTCTTCAGATCAGTCTTTGAACCTAATCATCCGCCGGAATGACAAGCCCCTACTCTTAGAGTGATAATTTGCTCCAGATAATAGTAAGGCGGTTTGTCTCAATCATGTGGAAGCGCTTCGTGTCACTATTGCTGCATTTTCAGCACAGTTTTAGGATCAGTTCATTTTTATCAACTTGATCTATCCTGGTCTCTAGCTCTTCTCGTATGGCTGGCTCAGCTTTACTGAGTCAACTCCAATCTTGGTATTGTGATTTCGTGTATGGGAGCCAATCTTGTCTTTCCCATAACGAAGCTACGATGGATTCTACCGGCGTTGAAAAAGCACAGATAGTCTACTGCTCCATAGCCCACGAGAGATCCATCAGAGACGATATGCAGCTGCTGAACACTCTTTACTGAAATGAAATCCTTAGATTTCAGGCACCTGTCAACATAAGATTTCAACTGTGGGAAATCGTCAAGCCAACGCGACCACTGCAGTTTCTCAGGTTCATAAATCATATTGTGCCATCTTAATTTTTCGCGGCAAAGCTGGTCTCGTTGTAGTAGCTTGGCTTTTATCGTAGGGAGCTATAAAGCCCAGTGGATCAAACAGCGAGCTAAGGTAAGTTAAGGAAAGAACTTTATTTTAGCACGATAACAAGATCAGCATTGCTGGTGGGGTCGTGCATACAACAATTACAAGTCTAGAAAAATAAGCAGTACTGAAAGCAAATGTACAATTAAAAATTAAAAACTGTTAAAAATGTTTGTATCCGATATTTCAGTTTTTAGTTGTTGCTAAAATAGGTTGTGAAAATGTACAGTTGAAAATCAAAACTGTTAAAAATATTCGTAATTGATAGTCTATTTTTAGTTGCCGCTAAAATAGGTTCGAAATTCATTTTATCAGTATCAAATTTTACAAGACAGCGTTTAAGTTCTTTCAAGGTTTTAGCGCTTGTTTGTTAAAGTGTTCCATGTGATTGCTCCTCTAAAGCGTATGGAGTTCCTGATAAAATTTGTTTCTGGTCTTGGGAGAATGATGTTCTCATTTCTTCTGCGTCCTAAATTCCTCTGTAAAAACAAATCTTTAAATGCCGTGACGGTGTAACCTTTTAAACACTTGAAGACAAACTCCGTTAGTCGCAGTTTGTACATTGTTTCCAGACTGTCCCATCGAGTTCGCTTTAAGACATCCTCAGCGCTAGTGTCCCATGACACCTCATATATCATCCGTCCAGCCCTTGCATGGAGTTTCTCCAGGTTGTTTAGGTGCGTCTTGTTACACGATCTCCACACTGTCAGACCGTATGTAACTGATGGCAGTATCACTTTTGTGTAGAAATCTTCTCATTGCTTCTGAGGGAGGAATTGCATGCGTCAGAGTAGACTTAACGTGGATGCGAAGGACTTCGCTACATTTGCAGCATGATCTGACCACGACAACTTGTCATCAACTTGTACTCCGAGGAGTCTTTCTGAGGTTGTCCACTTTATAATGTTGTTGCCAAGACGAAGAGCTTGGATAGGGCCAGTAAATGTTGATTTGCGCCGCATGATCATTGCTTTACATTTTTCTGGGTGTGGTACCATCGAATTTCTGTCGCACCATTCCTGGAGTTCAGCTAGAACATTGTTTAGAGAGTGTTAGCAAATCCATCGTTTCTGCGATACAGTATATTGTTGTGTCGTCTGTATACAGATAGCTTTCCGCAGAGCGTAGTGATTGTGGGAGGTCGTTTGTGAAGAGCGAGAATAGCGTGGATCCGAGAACCGACCCTTGCGGCACTCCGTGAGTTATAATGTGTATATTGGAGTCGCATCCGTTGATTCTGACGAATTGTCTTCGTTCTGTACGGTAGTTCTTTAACCACAGCCAGATATCTCCTCTGATTCCGAGGTCGTTCAGCTTTTGTAGTAATATATTGTGCGACACTGTGTCGAAAGCTTTAGTGAAATCCGCAAACAGTATTCCCACAAAAAACTTTCTTTCTACTGCTTCTCTCCACCTCTCAGTAAGGTGTATTAAAAGCTGTTCTGTTGACTTTCCCCTCCTATAAGCCCATTGTCTGTTATCAAGTAAATTTTGCGTAACCACGTGATTAGTGATATTACTTGCGACGCAGGATTCCATTAATTTACTTGGTATACTGAGCATAGACAGTGGTCTGTAACAAGTTCTGTCTTCCTCTCGTCCTTTTTTGAACGCTGCACTGAATCTAGCTATTTTCCACTAGTCTGGTGGCTTGCAGGCTTCAAAACTCTATTTAAACACGCTCGTGAGAGATGGTGCAATAGACATACCCGCATACTTTAAAAGACGCGCAGATACGCCATCTGGCCCCGTAGCTATCTTCACTTTTGACTTTCAGAACTTTTCCTCGATTTCCTTCTGACTAATCGTGATGCTGGTCATAGTCGGCGTATCCACATTCTTACGGCAAGTTTAAAAAAGAATGGAAGTCCTGTCTTCTAACCAACCAAATCTGACCTTAGTATATGTTCTTTCACTGATATTATTTGAGATTTTATTCCACTCTTTACTGCTGCCAATTATTTCAATATGACGGTGTCCAACAAGAAAGCTCTTGCTACTTTGGACACCGTACACAAATGAACTTAATATCTTTTAGTTAATTATTATTTGTAGCTACTTTATTTTCCTAGTATGTACACTTTTGTAAATATCTTGTATAGTGTGAATAAAGAATTGAATTGAATTGAATTGAATTGCAACTGTGCAGAAATAATCGTTTAACATAGTTGCCTTTTCAGTGTCATCTGTTGTAAGGGTTCCATCGTCCTTCTTTAATTGGTGGGCTTGTCTGTTTACTTTTGTCGTTCCTGATGTCTTTTTCAGTAGTCTCCAGTAAGCAGCACGGAGTTTGCCTCATCGAATAGATTGGAGTAATAATCGGCCTTGGCTTTTTTCGTCGTTGTTGATACTTTATTTCTAAGTCTTTTATAATCATCCCATAGCAGTGGATCATTTAGCTGACGCGCCCTTTTCAGAGTCTTGTATCTTTGATTCATGGTTATTCTGATTTCCTTTCTTATCCAAGGCAGGCTTTTACTGCGTACTTTAATTTGTTTTAGTGGTGCGTGCTCGTTGCATAATTCTATGAAGAGCAGGTTCCATGCGTAATAAACATCAGTGGGATCATCAAAAACTTCGCAGACTTGAAAAGGCGCACGGGCAAGTCACTTTGAAAGTTCCTTTCGTTAAATTTGTTGAATTTCCTGATGGTAATTATATTATTTTAGGCGGGTCTCCCGGGATACTGGTTGATAAGGTTGCATAAATCATGTCGTGATCTGAGATGCCCAGGGGACATGTGCCCTTTTGTTTGACCAGATCTTTACTATTGGTGACAATGAGGTCAATCCACATTTCAGAATGGTTAGTGATTCTTGAGCTAACAGTTGCTTGACCCTTTCTCCACAAGATGTTGAAACCTTTCAGATGCCTTCTAAGTAAACGTGTCCGCTTCTTCGTCCCATTTCAAGCCAAGTGCACACTCGGTTGGCAATTCTTGTATGTCAAGATTTGCCATAGAAACTGCTCTCTCGGTTTCCGGTAGTTCAGCTAGTACCTTCTGGTTGTTACTTATCCACTTTTTCAATCTAAATCCGCCCCTTGTTAGCAACTCTCGTTGCCGTGTCGAAAGCCTACTTCGGTCTTTGGAGTAGTAGCAGACTTAATCAAATCATCACTTTCATTTTTCTTTCCACGGTTTGGACTACGTCAGGAACAAATTCCGTTACATAAATCGAAGCACTCTTCTTTAGACTGAAGTTACAACACTGGGCAAGGGCGTTGCACCAAACAAATGTCTCACCATTCGGTATTCTTGTGGCTGCTCAATGAGTTGACCGTCTGGCAACACATCAAGGCCTCTTGGATCGAGATACTAACCTTGATGACGATACCGGCTCTATATGGGCTGCGATGGCTATCGGTAATTGGTTCTCTGATCCGTTAACCAGAAACGTCGTCGCTTGGAAGTTTTCCTCGTTTTAACTGAGTTTCCTTCGTGAACACAAACGTCAATGGACAATCAATCTTCTTTCTGGTCTTCTATTGGACCCATAATCACAGTCCAACCAAAACCGTACCAGTCTTTAACTCGAGCGGGAGGGAAAGTGTTGGTTTTTCTTCAAACTTCTTCGTCTTCAACATTGGGAATGTCAATGCTCGTAAACGAAATGAGGACAGCGAGCAAGGTCTCCTCCCTTTGCGATGCAACTTGTTGAGTTTGGCGTGTAACAGTCTTTACTTTTCCCCTGACTTTGCACAGTTCCACTTCAACAGAATCATCCATCGACTTTACCACAAGATCCACCATTTATAAACCAACTTTTCCGAGCCCTTCATTCCTGTCAGCGTAAATTCAAATCTTTGTCCATCTTATTCAAGCTTCTTTACTAAAAAGGCACAATATCACTTCGGAGCCATTGTCAGGAGGGTAGTATGTTTCAATCACTCTATCACCTCGTTTACCTCGAACCTTGACTGGGATAACTCCAAGACACACCGGCGTTTCTCCGCGTACAGTAGCAGTTACAGCAATTCCATAATCATCACCGGCCCCAGTTTATAGATCACGAACTAGAACAGATACTCCAGGTACAGCTCAGAATAAATAATAATAATAAAACAATAATTATCCACTTGTACATAACATACTTCATTTGTCCAAAACAACACAGGCTAGTGCGAAAATTTATCTCTTTGTACTATGTCATATTCTTGAGCCGAAAGTCTGGCAGTGATGAAAAAGTTTCATTCAAATTTTGAACCTAAATATATTACACAACATTCCCTATGAAATTATTATATATCATATTATATAATTACTAAATTATATATCCCAGAATACAGTTTTTTTAGGGTTTTCATATTGTTTGATCTCGGTGTTTTCTTTGGTTTGCTCGCCCGAGTTTAGTATGTGCGTGAGATCTTGGGTGGCTCGATAAGCACGCTCGTCGCGCACGCTTAAAAAAAACCCTCTCGTATTAGCCACCTTAAATCTGAATAGTTCCCTCTCTGTGAGAATGTCCCACTGACCCTACCTAATAATAACAGTTAAAAGAGTCTTCTATTTTGTTAAAGGAGGGGTTGGGTGATTTAACGAGAAAACAAATTTCTTTAACACACCAAAAACGAAAGAAAAGAGAGTTACATCGAGCTAAAATTCTTACAGCAAAAAAACATAGGTTTCAAAAAGAATTCTTGCTTAAACGACATCAACCTCCAAAACATCCTTTTTGTGAAATTATTGGTTGTAGGTACCGCGATTAGCCGCGCGTTTAACCCTCAGACGTACACTCAAATTCATAGCCCCACCGTGGTACAAGGGAAGAGAGGGTTACCCCTCCCCTGAGTTTTAGATATGTTGCAGTATTTCGAAACGATTTTGCCTTCAGTGGAAAGCCTTTGATCTCCTTAACAAGACAAGGTATATTTTATTGGGTGGTGGCGCCGCTGGGAGCCTGTGACGTCACCAACAATGGCCGCCATCTTGGATTTTACCAAGAATTAGAAATCGGGTTAAAACCGCGATAAATGGTAATTTTTCTGTTCTTGACATGTAAAATAATACATAAATAAGCACTTTGCATCATTTCATCCACAAGCTTTACTTTAATTGTTGAAAGAAGTTGAAACAACATTCATTTCCACTCAAAAATGGCTTGACCACCTGCTTGACCGCCCACTACTTATGACGTCATATCTCGTAACCATAGTAACTGATGTACGAACAGCTACTGAAAACGTCGGGTGCTGATGTTTTATCGTCTAGGAAAAAACTTTTAAAAACCCTCAGAGGTAGGTGGGGTGGCAATTAGAGAACATGACCTGGTCAAGATTTCCAGTTAACTAATTAAAATTAATCGGTTTAAAAAATTAGATGGGGCCACCTCTTTTCGGTGATAACCCACCCTTAACCGAGTTATGCAAATTAATACGAAAACAATGGATTTCCGTAACCGGGTCAGGGTTTCTTAAACCATCTTGCCAGATAGTTTAACGCTATGTAAACACTATATCTTTTCGTGCGGACACGAAAACAACTCTTTGTAACGAAACTCTTTGGAAGGTTCCAGCTACTGCTACGGTTATTCGTATCCACCTCACTATGCGTCGCAACCTTTATTGAGGTTTGAACCAAGCTTTTCGCAGTGTTCCACTTTAGGTGTGTATCCTTCGCGCTCTGACTCGCCATATTCCTGAGTCTAGTAGTGAAAGGTCTTCATATACGGAGAACACCATGGTCAGAGGCTGAGGAAAAGATTTTAATCGATCTCTGAAAGGAATCCAGAGCGGCACTGAAAGGGAAGGACAGCTCCAAAAATTAACAACCTCGTCCCCAGGGCGCTTTTCCCTGGCTTTGGAGGTCCGTCCCACCTCCAAAGCCTGGGAAAAGCGCCCTGGGGACGAGGTTGAAAAATAATTAGATTATTCCTCAAAAAGAATAGGAATAGGTAGCAACCTTGCTTAATGAATAATTTATAAATATTTGCCTCTGTTATTTGCAGGTATGAAATAATGTGTTTATGTTGGAAAGAAAATCCTTTGATGAGACCCACATTTGCTGATATCACTAAGCGATTCCCAGATTGTTTACAAACATATAAGGTACATTTTCTTTTTTTTTTCTTTCGTTGTTAATTTCATACTGAACGTTCGTTTCAACAAATCATTGGTTTTCCATGCATAGACCGTTGCCTTTCTCCCGTCAGCAAAGGTATTAGCTCCAGGCTTGGGTCGACAAAATGCCGTGATTTGTATAAAATTGTCCACACAAGTCCCGACCTCGGTTTTATCGCGCGGGCCTACTAGAAAGGATCGTGGGGAAGTTCTATTGCCTTACTGCTTTTTAAAAGGCAGAGACAACGAGGGAAGAACTCTCTCTGACACTCGACGTGCATGAAAACACAAGGAGACTCCGGCACTGATATAAATAATTGGCCCTAAATAATAATACTCAAATTCCACTTTATTTTTAAGCAACCAAAAGGTTTTAGTGAAAAAAGAAATAAATTAATGAAATAAATAAAAAAAGAACTTAAGAGAACGATGGATGGCTATGTAGCCAGTGGAATGTTGTTACGCCAATCGGTTGTGGCCGTAGTTCGTCAATGACGCATGAAAACGCAAACATTTAGCGAGGCCGTCTTTCTGTTAAAATCGCTATTGAATCCGAGTAAAATTTACTTCTCGGGCTACTTATCTTAATTAACTTTGGCTTAATTTTGGTTCTTCTGTGACATTATGGAGATCAACTATTGGGGGTCCAAGAAGAACGAAGTTTGAATTCGTTAACTGATACCTATGTAATTTGACCGAATTTCTCACCTGAAGAGCTTAGCATAGACATTTTCCGACATGCTACAAAAGCACAAGTTTCATTAACATCGCTTTGGTACACTTGTAGGTGAAATGATGACTTGTTTGTTTGTTTGTTTGTTTGTTTGTTTACGTTTAATTTAGAACAATTATATGAATATACTAAAAGAAGATGATAGAAGCGTCTCAGAAGTTTCATTATCGGATGGTGTTTCACTGAGCAGAACCGGGAACATGACCACGACGGTTTGACAAACGAGGAGAGGCCGCGACGAGGGAGTATAAGTAGTTGACGCTGGAACAAACATTAAAGGTCACGTAAACAAACGTTTTGTCCGCAGAGACTAACTGAGGGGAAAAAATGACGTTTTAATAGTAGTACTAGTTGCATTCGGATTAAGAGTAAGAGTAAGAAGTTTATTGTACACTCCCCCGCGGGGCTTTTCAGTGATACAAGACAAAGCTATAATTCATCATCAAGTATATAAAATAACTGCCTAAAAAAGAAAATTACCTAAGTTTCCGTTTAAAATTCTTATGATGCAATAAAAGGTTAAAACCTACGACACGGTCGCGGGATCAAGAAATTTATACAACAATATTTGCTTAGTTTCTGTTTAAAATCCCTATGATTCTCACTTTTACGTAAGACCTCAAATTAAAATTTGAGGTCTTTATCTAGGCCGTTCCACAAACTGACAACTCTGTACCGGAATGATCGCTTACCAACAGCTGTTTTAAATAAAGATATTTTTAACAATTAAAATTGTTTGAATTGCGTGTCACTTGGTCAGAGACTAGGCCTCTCGTAACTAGCCTGTATGTGAGGTAATCTATAGGACACAACGCGTCATACATTTAAACGCAAAAACAGCGTCCCTTAGATATAATTGCTGTGTTATATAAGATAACCATCACAATTCCCGGTGAATGACTGGAGAGATATGATCAAATTTTCTCGCTCTACTAATTATCCGCGGGCAGCAAAGTTCTGTACGTGTTGCATTATCCATTACAATATTTGAAAGCTCTTAAAAGGAAATATATAAGCCAACATTTTCAGTCAAATAATCAGTGTAATCTACCTAGCAAACATTTACCTGCAGACTGGTTTTATAAAATGGTGCCTCCGCTGAAGTCACTATCGGCTCGTCACTTTAACTACAAATCCGTGTATCGGAAAACGTCGCAACGCTTATACAGGTATAGGGCTGGCAGAAGGGGAAAAGGTAAAACAAACCAAGAGAGACTAAAACCAAAAGCAGAAATAAAATATAAAAAAGATAATAATAAAAACAGTTTACCACGATTTTTGCTCCTATTAAAGTACGTCTGTTGTCGAAATTTAGTTGGTTGCCAAAATCATTTCTTGACCGCTAAAACGGCCAGCGTAAAAACAATATGGCCAACAACAACATCAGCAACAAAAAAGAAAAGAGAGGGGAAAGCAGGAGTCCTCACGGCAAGATATTCGCGGATGGTCATTCAACCAGTTTGTTACTGCTGGAAATGGACGCGACACTGTTTATTCAATTTTTAAATGTGACATTTTAGTGACGCTTAAGTGAAATCATTAAGTGAAAAAAACCCGGATGAGAGCATATGGTTTTGTCTTTAGTTTTTGTTCGCTTGCACTATTTTGGATGGTCGCCTGTATACGATTGTAAAACTTATTTGGAAACCAACATAGTCCAGAACTGTTCCTACTTTGGTTTTGGTGGTTATTTTTTCGTTGCGGGAACAATTTTCTGGTCCTTGACTAGCCAGATAAAATGAATCAAGCAAATGAAGCGAGCGAATCATGGCTAATGAAAACGATAGTGGTCAACTGGAATCGGCTGAACGATCAACAATTTCAACTGTGAAAACGTAAAGAGTTGTGGTAAAACGAAGAATTACTGTACGAATACCTTAAAGAAAATACAAGGTACGATTCCAAACTAAATTAAAATTAAACATTAGAACTATTCCAACAAATTAAAAGCTTTCTTAAAAAGAAATGTTTTAAGTTGTTTTTTAAGAAGAAGAAGAAGCTGAAAACCTTGAGAAGGTACGAAACTTTGCCCATTACAATGACCCTGAGTCTTAACCCAATCGTCTCCGTGATTTTGATGATGATTCGCTAGAGTTAATTCCATCGTCTGAATTTACGCAAAGTGTACAAACAAGTCATGTTACGTCATTATCCTCATCGTCCCAACCGCTGTCTGGATCTACGCACAAGGTACATGCAACTCAGGTTACATCATCACCAATGTTTATGAAACCAAGACCAAGCGTTTTATTCATGGTTCCTAAAGGCTTGTCAAAGTCCAAAACATCAACATCTGTTTACCAGTCCTGGGTTGAAAGTTTATCAAAAACAGCACAAACTGATATTGCATCAAGTCCTGAGTGGAAATATGTTACTTAATTATGGCTCTTCAAGTCTTCCTAAGTTACAGCTCAAGAAATTTGACGGTGACCCTTTGCAATGGCCTGATTGGTCATCGATGTTCAAATAAATTGTTCGTGATGCTGATTTATCTTTGAATGGAAAGATCCAACACCTTCAGAACTCTGTGGTTGGTAGAGCAAAGTCTACGGTTGAAGGGTATGGTTACAGTAGGGATTCTTACTATGAAGCATTGAAAGAATTGGAAGCTAGATTTGGAAAACCCTCACTTGACAGATTGAGAAAGACATCGCGAATGAAGAATGACAGACCGCATGAAGTGAGAAACTTATCAGATATTGTGTCAACTAACGTCTGGATCTTTAAAAGGTTCGGATACAAGAATGACCTAGCAGCCGAAGCTAATATCTCTATTGCAGTGGATAAACTATCCACCGATTTCCAATTCAAGTGTAAGGACCATGTGAGAACAAGCAATTAACATCAACCATGGCTGGAGGACTTTTGTAACTGGCTAAAGGGTAAGGCGGATAGTTATGATGACTGCTTGAAGTTCCCATTCAGAGGCCGCTATGGAGGTGCTGATAAAAGGCACAATACTTTCTTTGGTAACCTCTCATCACGTAACAAACAAGCAAAATTTTGTTTAATGGAAGATGGACAGCAGCATAACCTGTCAGCTTGCCCCAATTTTAAAGCCTTAAGTGTAGAAGAACGCCTCAGTGAAGTTCAAAAGCATAAGCTGTGTTCTTGCTGCCTCCGACCTGGTCACTGGCTTACCACTTGTAGGAGTGAATGGGTGTACACGAAGACACAATGCTTAACTGCACTCGTCGAGAAATGTAACACCTGATGGGAATAATGAAACAGCAGCATCAACCAACCAAACAACACCAGAAGCAGCTACACCCCATCCACCGAGCATTCTAGTGCATCTCATAAAAGTAGTGGTGACTCTGTTTTTTTACAAGTTGTGCCTGTTACTCTATGTGAGCCAAAGGGATACTTCAACACATATGCAATGTTAGACACTGGAAGTACTTGCAGTCTGCTGGCAACAGATGTTGCGAAAAATCTTGGTCTTGACGGTCCATGGCAAGTGTTCTGCTGAATAGAATTCAGAAATCATCCAAACTGCTGACTAAGCGTGTTGATGTTGAAGTCAGTCAGTTGAATGACTTTGGTACAAGGTTTGATGTGCATAGAGTTCTAGTGGTTGATCGCCCGAACGTGCCGGAAAGAAGGGTGACTTTCAGAGAACTACAAGAGAAATGGCCACACCTTCCAGACTTAGAGTTGAATGAAGTTTCTCTAACTCCAGTCACGTTACACCTTGCAAGTGATGTCCCAGAACTTATTGTGCCTCTTGAGACTCGATGTGGACCTAAAGGTTCTCCTGTTGGTGTTCGCACTAAATTGGGGTGGACTGTTACTGGTCGTCTACCTGGTTATATTGCACACGGTGAATCTGTTTACAACGTTCATATTGCAACCCCTGATGAAGTGCTTCATAAAACAGTTAAAACCTGGTGGCGGACCGAGGACTTTGGATGTCGATATGATTGTGATGTGCAGCGTTCTGTCGAAGATGAAAAGGTGTTGAAGTTCCTGAGTGAGCGGACGCCGGAGGTAGAAGGTCATTATGAGGTTCCGCTGCTTTGGAAGGATCAAAACATCCAACTTCCTGACAATCGTGTTGTGGCTATTCATCGACTTGGTCTTATAGAGAAGAGACTTCAACGTGATCCTGAGTTGGGCGAAGCCTACAAGAAAAACCATTGACACAGACCTAGAAAAGGGGTATATTAAGACACTCACTCATCAACGAGGAAACTGCTAACCAAGCAAAGCGTACGTGGTGTCTCCATCACCATCTTGTACTTAACCCTAATAAACCTGGATAGGTCAGACGCGTATGTTATGCAGCTGCTAAATATCAAGGGTCTTCATTGAACAATCACCTTGTAAGTGGACCTGACTTGCTGAACAATCTTGTTGTAATCTTCATGCCATTCATGGATGAAAAGATTGCCCTTTCTGGAGACATTAAGAGACAATGTTTAACCAAGTTGCTGTCCCACCAGAGGATCAAGCTGCCCTTCGTTTTCTGTGGCGCCAATCACCGGAGTCTGAAATCGAAGTCTATCAGTACCTGCAACATATCGCTGGGGCTAAGTGTGCACCAACGTGTTCTAATTATGCCCTTTTAAGGACGGCAGAGGACAATAGACAGCAATACCCTGTTGCTGTTCGTGCTGTTATGCGCAATTTTTATATGGAGGATTTCTTTAAGTCTGTAAAGACAACAGATGACGCACTTGAACTGCAACAGCAACTTGGTTACCGTGGTCGGCAAACAATTGAATTCCTCTCCCGGACAGGCCCCCAATATTACGCGGGTAATCTTTTAAAGGACAGGTAGCTTGCAAACTAAACTGAACGCAGGGTTGTCGGAAAAGCAGCAAGATGATTTATTCCAAAAATTAACGTAGTTTCCACAAAGTAAAACTCTACAACAGCACGTAACTCGATAAACTTACACGGCCTCCGCCAACTTGAGTAGACACTATTTCCGTCACACTTGACTAAACGCGACTAACGTCAAACTCTCTTTGCTTGTGAAAACTAGTTAAAACTTTGCTTGGACTCGTCTACTTATATACTTTCACAGTAAGATTCTAGAACTTTCTAAATAGGCTAATTATAGAAAGATTACAAAATATACCGCTTTGGAAACGCTTACACAAGATCCTCAACTAAACAAGCTATGAACTTTCGAGAAAGCTTCTAGAATGCCACGCTTAAAAGTTACACAATACAATTTTTCGTAACAGGCAAACACACGTACCCTATTATCTTTAAGAGCGCATAAATCATTGTCTAACAACTATAAATACAAAGTAAAAAAACAAAGTATATTGTGTGTATTTCTCTGATTACTTTGTTAAAATACTCCTACTTTATCTGATTACCTTGTCAAGAATTTTCCTTTAGTTACCAGTCTCTAGTTAGCGCTTTCAAGTTACAGTGAATAATGCAGCAAGTGACGTCCTGTTTTTTGGCATTGTTTTGTCTCTATTTTTAGGCATATGCTGACTGGATTT